CAAGAACTAAAGAAACTCAAATGAAACACTAGGGAGCAAAGTACAAAAACAGAGGAGGTGGGATTCAAACACAGGACAGAAGGGTACACAGACAACCCCATGCTCAACACATTGAGCCATATGACCAGACAGGTAACAGGGGAGAACAAAGACTGACATAAAGGACGGGATGACCAGCAACACCTGCTGGTCAAACGGGGAAGGGACACGGTAGGACCACAGCAGGGGCTGACCCTTTCTATAGGCGACTCTTCTGGTAAGTAACAGGTAAAGTTGTCATTTAAAGTAATGCTAACGTGCATTGCCAGTTAGTAATATTTTTACTGTGTCACCTTACGTCCTTTATAGTTGTAGTACAGTGCATTCTGAATCCATCCTAGCTATAGCTAATGTGAACATGAAGCAGTACTGCCTTCCAGCTTGGGGATTCCCACCCCAGTCCACAGCCAGTTTTCTGCTGGGGCTTTTGCGGAGGGGTTGGTTGCAAATGCAAACGATTCCTTCATGTTCGTCCGTTGTGTTCAGATGTTAAAATAAAAGATAACTATCAAATTCAATGTTTATGTCCTATTATACAAGATAAGACTGTAAAATAATTTGCCATGCATATACTGTATGGATGCCATGCAATCAGAGCATGATCAAGACAGGGTGTGAGTGGAAAAAACACAAATGTAACAGTATTTGAGGGAAGAGTGGGAAGGAGGGATATGTATGGAGAAGGAGGTTCCTCGGAGCTCCGAGATGAGTTTTGCTGTAATAAATCTGGAATATAGCTATATAACATAGTTTTTGATAACCCCAGCATTTGTTTTTTAGGCAAGAATGGCAAGCAGATCAGAACTGGCCAGATTTGATGCTGCAGCTTTTATTGAAAGACAAAACTAAATTGAAAAGTGCTGAAGTTTGAATGACTGTGTTTATTTCAGTTATTTCATACCGAGCTCAAAGATTGGTTTCATCATACAAATACAACACACATAATGTTCACTTGAAATTACTGAAAAGTGATAGCAGAATCAGAGGGTCAATAAGCTTTTAAGTAATAATGAGGATTGTGCTCGGGATAGAAGCTGCACTTTGTGTTGAAGAAAAGTGTAGATTTTCATTTTACAAAATATGCAAATTAATTGTAATAATATTAGATGACATTAATTGCATGACTAATAATACTTTGAGAAGAAAGTTTTGCCATTATTATTTTGCCACTATCATTGCTTCTTTCAGTAAATTATTCTTGATGCCCCCAGTCGGTAGCCCGTGTATGTAAATATGTGGGTAGGATGACGGTTAAAACCCCCCGATTCATGTGCAGCATTTGATCACAGCTGATCGCATTCATGCTGGAAAGAGTCATCCCATCTTAGCAGAGTCGCTGCTGAAGCTGTGTGAGAGCTTATTCTCCAGGTCTGGCTAGTTTTCGTGT